GGAGCAGGTTGGTGAAGCCACGCCCACCTAGCTCGACGGTGGTGACAGCAGCGGCAATCCACCTGTCACTCAAGTGGCCACGCCCTTAATTATGCAGAATTTTAAGGCTTAATATAATTTAAACGGGTGAGTTATAAAAAAATTCACCCCCCTCACAGTTGTCATGAAGGGCAAAATTAGCTATATAGACCAAAATAATTTTTTGAGCCAGGCTGTAAACATGTTTTTTTCTGCTGTAAAGTTGGGCATTTTAACATGGGGAGTCTATGGGATTGACTCCCTTTTGCAGCCAGCCTCTAGCGGCCAGTCGATTAATTACAGTTTAAATCACTTCCTTGTTGGCTTCACGAGAGAGAGAGCGGGAGATTGCCACTTGGTAAAGAGGCGTTCACCTACCTACTGCAGCTACAGTAGCCTAATAAAAGTAAAAAAATACCACCTTTAAAAAAAGGATGTAAAAAGCCCAATGAGATAATATCAAAAGTGATATAACAAGAAGGCCTCTCTGCAATAATAATTTTAAGCCTATAACTGATAAGTCATTAGAGGTCTATGAGGGCGCATAGAAACAACTGTCATGCAAATACGAGATAAATAATGAGTGCTAATATTAATAAAGCTAATGATGCTTGACAGATCTAGGCTAGCACATCTCCCTTAGCACGAAGTCTCTGGCAGAGGATTGGGAAGCTCATTGGATGTGAAGAAATGAGGGATAGCGGTGGACAGAGGGGACGGTTCAGGGTTTAGTGAGGAGAGAAAGAGAGGGAGAGCAAGACAGAGTGGAGCTGTGGTTAATTAGCAGTGACAGTTCCACAGTTGGTCCAGCATTGGTTCAGACAGCTGCAGGCTGCTGCCAGCTACCAGTGCCACACGTTGCCATTCTAATTCTCTCTTCATTTCCATCTAGATAGATCTGTTCCTCCCATTCACTCACTCACTCACTCAGGTGTTTTTTTTTTGTGTTCTTTTTTTTTTGTCCATCCAACAACAGCACAGACCCATTGAAAGGGCAAGGAAGGAAAGTCTGGCTTCATGCTTTCTTCATTTGTGCAATCACAATGACTTCTTGTTCTGTGGTGAAGACTTCAGAAGATATTCAGAAGGCAGCAAAAGATTCAAAGATAGCTCATCTTGGATACCAGGAAGAAAAGCATGTCACTTCTGTTACAAACTTATGAAATGCAATGTAAGAATCATACATGTTATGGAAGACAAAAGTACTTAGCTAAAATACAGGTTAACTTTCACTTATTGAGAAATGAAACGAGACCACATGAGCTCCTCAGTGCTGTCATTGTTAATAATAAAAGCTAATGCTAATAAAAAATAATGCTAATTACTAACTATTGTATCTGAACAAAACTGTTGTCCTAATATTAAACATATAAAGATTAATGGAAAATAAAGTGTTTTTATTTATATTTTCTCATAATAGTTTGGCTAATATCACCGTTATATTGATCTAACGACACCATTTCATAGACCTCTTAAGAGCTATGACTATCATATTTTATAGACGTTAACTTATGTGTCATGTACAGTACATACGTCTTTTAGAGATGCTTTGTAGGAAACTTTATGCAACACAAAAAAACATATAGGCTACTGAACTGTGACTTCATTTTTAATGATGATTTGTGACTTAAAATTGCAGAATTTTCTTTTCTTTCAAAATGATCCCTGTTAAAAGTTATAGGAAATATGAATCCATTTGTTTACAATGGAAACATGAATTGATAAGCAGCACACAAAAAAATCAATGTATAAATTATGTAACTGAGAGATGTAATACACGAGGAAAAATGGCACCACAAATATAAGACAATGTTACAGTTAATTTAATGAAAACACCATGTTTAATGCATTGCAACAATTACAACAACTTTGATAACATACTAAACATTCAACATTTGCAGTGCCTCTTTCTGAGGGGCCTCACTGATCAAGGACCCTGGCAGACAGACTGGGGCCTGGTTCATAATCCATCACTTGTTACTTGTTCTTAAAACAAATGACACAGTTAAATTATGGTTAATATAAGCTAGGGATGCACCGAAATGAAAATTCTGGGCCGAAACCAAAAATTCTGGATGCACTAGGCCAAAAACCAAAACCGAAAATGCTTTGTAATGATTATTTATTGTTTTATTAAATAATATAAAGTAATTTTGTAAGACCTTTTAATTTAACTCAATAATTTTAATGATACTGAATTTAAAAAACACAAGCCAATAAAACCACACTTAATAATAACCACACTTTTACTGAAAGTAACACAATAAAATTGGACAGAATTTATATTAATATTAGTAACACTTTACAATAAGGTTCATTAGTTAACTACTTTAGTTAACATGAACTAAGAATGAACAATACTTCTTCAGCCCTTTATTAATGTTAATTTCAGCATTTACTAATGCATTATTAAAATCAACAGGTGTGCTTGTTAACAGTCAATGCACTCTGAATTAACATGAACTAACAGTGAGCAACTGTATTCTCATTAACTAACATTAAGAAAGATTATTAAATACTGCAATAAATGTATTGTTCATTGTTCGTTCATGTTAGTTACTACATTAATTAACATTAACTAATGGAACCTTATTGTAAAGTGTTACCTTAATATTACCTTAATATTAAATATCAGTATATTATTTTTATTCAGTTCCACGCAACAGAATCAGATATAACTGTTTTTAAACTAATTATCAAAATAATGTATAATCCTACAAAGCTATTATTAGCAGAGCATGTGAGCAGAGCATAGCGTCATGAGAGGGTAGCGTCATTTTACCAGCGTTGCCATGTTACAGCACAGTAGCGCTATTGTAAACTGGAACAAGTAACCTACCTACATACATAGAAGTTTCCTGTCGGCGCGTTATTTGAGCGGACTTTGCTTTTCCGGCGAGCGGAAAACCGACCGACGAGTGGCGACGAGAGAAACCTGCGCGCTTCCCCAAACGGACAACACACGACACGACGACAGGGGGCGACGAGGAGTAATTGCCTTCTAGAACTCAGGAAACAGCGACAGCGGTGAGAAGTAGCAAACTTTGCCTCTCCCGTAGAGTGGATGAATGAATTTCTTGATGTATAAACTAGGTTGTGGGTTCATTTGGAAGACGCACTACAAAGAATCATGTAAAACCCTGTAAATCTTGAGATTATTTTGTGCAGTTACTGAAATACTGTCAAACAAAATACTGTCTATATGGATATGAAACTAATAAAACTAAATTGTAAAAAAACAGTAAAAAAAAAAAAAAACAGTAAAAATTTCATTTTATTAACAATTTAATTAGTCGAGTATGAATCAGCCTGAACACTGCAGGGCGGTGTGGTGTGGCATATTATTTTCGGCCGATTTTCTCTTTCGGCCGAAAACCGAAAATGCCATTTTCGGCGGCCTATAATTCGGTGCATCCTTAATATAAACTAAGTAAAGGAAGTCATTTTTTTTCATGCTGTTTGCTAATTGGTATCAACTGTATCATAGGCAGATTGCATCGTATGGATTTTTCAACAGTTTCTCTTTTACCACTGACAGACAACTCGGTTTTAGTGGCTGCAGGAATTATACTTTTAGTTTTGCTTTTAATTGAAGCTAGTATAAACCCCATTCAGAACGACTGTCGCCAACTTTGAAACTACCAAACGCGTCTTCACTGAACAAGCCTGGAAACTCTTCCATTTTCATCAACGAAGCTGTCAAAGGCAGCGCCCAGTCGCGTCGTTTCCCCGATGTCCGTGGATACTTCCTGGTCCAAAGTTGTGTGTACACAAATCAAAGTCAATTGAGAATGAAGTCGGATGGTGAAGTCACATCAGGGAAATACACTTCAACGGACACACACACACTTCTCTAAACTGAGGGACAGAAAAGATAAGTTTAATAGCCTATATAATTCATTCTTCAGTGTTGACGCGTCGCAAACATGATACGAACAGATGAACATCATTCATGCAATGGAACCCTGAAGTGTCATTCTGACCAGAAACAACAGGAAAGCAACAGTTTGAAAAATGGATATCACAGAAAAGAAAAGGTAAGTCAAAGTGCATCACTTCTGCTCAATGCGTCAAGTTAAACGTGTTATTTTAAAAAGAAAAGTTAAAATACAAGGAGTGATTTTTAAGGCGGACTTGAAGTACTTCGTAGTTTTTACAGACGTTGTAACTTTTACAACAGGTTTGACTTAGTATAGCGTTGAGGTCCGATTCATTTCAGCGAATCGGTTCGTTCAGATGGTTCATTTAATGAATCCCTTCGAAACACGAGTCACCAGTTTGTCATCACTGAAATATGCTTTAAGTCCAAGTGCTATTTTCGTAATGAAATAAATGTTTACTCTTATGAAAATAGTTGTATTAGTAACCATATATAGTTTAACTGTAAAATTTGTATTCCAAGCCACAGGCAAAACACTGGTGGGTTAGCTTCTCTCTTAATTTAACTATGGTTTCTATAAAACAAACTAGTATTTGTCATTTAAAGTGTCGTATTGGCTGTGAAAGATATGGCTTAAGCAAATGTAGAAATTACAATTATTATTAAATTCTGTAAATTGAGGTGTTTAGTTTATGCCGTAGACCTATATGTTTGAATGTCTTTTGTCTATTAAATTGCAGTACAGTTAAAACATTATTAACTTTAATGTATTGTCAATGGTATTTTAGGTGCAGAAAAATGGTAAGGGAGATGGTTTTCATCAACCTCGAGTTAGGGGTGAAGATTCATTTGAGGAGGCCCCCATGTACGTGGCTGTCCTGACATACATGGGTTATGGAATTGTCATCCTTTTTGGCTATTTTAGGGATTTCTTAAGAGCTGTTGGCTTAGAGAAGTGCCATCAGGCCCAGGAGAGAGAAGAGCAAAAGGTAGGGTTGCTCTCCATCTAATATATTTCTCAAAATGTTATAACCATCATGTGTAGAAAAGTTAGTTTGTTCCAGTTTGTCTTGTTCAGTACACACTGGGGGAAAAACATATTTTTTATAATTATTTTTAGCTTTACCTCATGTAAACCTTCCACTTGATTGGTGGAACTTTTATTTTTGGATTAGAATAACAACTTTCTGTGTGTCTAAATAGCATTTAGAAATAATAACTGTAAAAAGATGAGTATTTGTCAAGACAAATTTACTGTCAAACACAAAAGTGTTTTCTTTCATGTCATATAATTTACACACTGTTAACTACGGAAAATCTCCATGATGTGTGTGAGGTGATGCCGGGGAGGTTAAAGACGCAATTAAACCCCAAAGGAGTGTGGGTTCATTATTTCTGCTCTCAGTCTGTCCGCTGAGAATGCCGCCTTCAAAAAGATGCCTCTTTCATGCACATTTCTAACTCGAAGCTGGTGGCATTACATCAGATGCGATTATTCAAAGGCATAAATTGAGTTTTTTTAAGTTTAGCTGGCAAGATAATGAAACGGTAAGCTTTCAGATGGAGTCGCACCTTTAGCAAACTTAAATGCTAAAATTGTGTTATACTGATGATATGAGTAACACATGGTGGATTTTCTGCTCTGTGCTTGCCATGTTTTCCATGATCAGTGTGAATCACTTCAGCCAAATTGGCAGTGTCTAAATCTTCTAACCTAGCTCTAATCTGTAAAGTGCATTAAACACAAATCAGTAAGAAGGGAGTGCACTGGAAAATAACAGTTTTTACTTCAGCTCTGCACATTTCACAGAGTGCGCTTGATATGTAGGCCTATATACTCTATTAGCATTTAAGAGCAAAATTTACATGTGGCCTCAAATGATCTTGCAGCATTTCTGTTCTCCTTTTCCTGTGTAACGGGTTTATTTGCTGTAATATATAATGATATATACTGTGTGCTGTGTTATTTGTAAACATTGCTGTTTGAGTTACACACCAGCAAAGCTTTAAACTGTGTGCTTTGTGTAGGCTATTCTTTGTGTTAAATGAGAACAAAAAAAATGCTATGCAGTTTTTTTTTAAGCTTTCTTGGTGTCTTAAAAGAACGCTTTGAATGCATGATCTGAAACGTTGGGCAAAGATCAGACACCTCCTCATTGACCAGAAAAACTTATGAGTGGCAGTCAAAAGCTTATGCAAAACTTGTAAAAGTCAGGCGGCAATTTGTTGCTCCTTTGTTATTTTCTACTGTCTTAGCTGTCTCTATAACTAAGATTCTGAGCAGTTCAAAGTAAGTTTAATAAAGGCAGCACAATGAGGAGTCTGATTAGCTTCTCCCTTGTTGTTTGGCAGAGTTTACTTAAGGACAAGATGTGGATGAGTCTCTCAGGATTCTGATACTCACAGAGCAGATGGTTTTGAAACATTCACCCGATTGTAACTACCCACATACAAACAGTGTCTTTTTATGGCTGATCTTGTGTCAGCTGTGCCTCTTATTTTTTAATGAATAGGGCATATTGTGGTGAGGAAAGCACAAAATACTAATGTTAGGTTATATTAAAAGTGCTTATGGTCATTATGTTGTAACCAATTTCTTGTATTACAGGACTTTGTTCCACTGTACCAAGATTTTGAAAACTTTTACAAACGGAACCTGTACACGAGAGTCAGGGATAACTGGAACCGGCCTATATGCAGTTTACCTGGTCCGGTTTTTGACATAATGGAAAGGGTCTCAGATGATTACAACTGGACTTTCAGGTATATGCTTTGCATTAAAACAAACAGTTATGACCCTGTTGTAAAGACCAGGAGATGTTGTTTAGGTGCCGATTCCGGCAGGATGTCTGTGTCCTTGCAAGACTTCTTTACTAGCTTAACTAGCAAGTGGATGAGCCAACTTTTTGGACCAGCATCATGGGAGAAATATATTAAAATATAATATTATTATAACTACAGTTGAAAAGTTTGGGGGAAAAATGCATCATGATTTCCTCAAAAATACAAAGCAGCACAACGGTTATCAGTATTGATAATAATACGAAATGTTGACACTTTAGACTGGAGTAATGTCTGCTGAAAATTCAAGCTTTGCCATTAAAGTAGTAAATTGCATTTTTAAATATATTAAAATAGAAAACAGTTATTTTAAATTGTAAAAATATGTAAAAATACAGTTTTTTGATCAGATAAATGCAGCCTTGGTGAGCATACTTATTACAAAAACCTCAAACCTTTGAATGGTAATGTAAATTAAATAATAATAAAATATTTCATTAGGGGATAAATATATTAATATTTGATAAACTAATATGGTGTGCCAGTTATATGATTATGGCTAAATTTTTCCCATTTTGTAATTTCATCTAATTTTTTCTTTCAACAGCCGCACCTACAGTACTCCCACTAACTGCTGCTTTGCAATACATGCAGTTCTCCTATATTACACCCATTTATTTCAGTTGCAACCTGGAACAAGAAAGATCTATACGTGCTATCGAAAAAAAAAAAATAGAAAACTCGGTTGATGCCGTGTTACTTCTTTGACAGGTTAACAGGGAGAACCGTTGAGAACGTCATAAACATGGGCTCCTACAACTACCTGGGTTTCGCTGAAAACAATGTCGACTTCCTGAAAACTGTGGCAGAGGAGACCAGACAGTATGGGGTGGGTGTCTGCAGCACAAGACAGGAACTAGGTATGTGTGTGGTTACACCACAAACGAAACGCATCTACAATCACAGAAACAGGTCACCCATAGCATCCAACACTGTTTGCATAAGAACAAGCATAGTAGGTTATTGAGCAACTATTTTGGTTTAGTTAATGCCATCATTAACCTGTCAAAAGCTTTTTTTTCCACTTGTGAACAGACCTGCTTTGAGCAGCATTCATAGAATTCCTCCTTCGCAAATAGATTTTTTTTTTCTGGGTAATTCATTAAAGGCCCAACCTGTTTTTGAATTTGCAGCATAAGTTGATGATTGACTGAACTGTTTCATATCTCTCTCTATAGGTTTATTACATGTATTATGATTAGTCAAATGACCCATAATGATCTTCCTCGTATTTCCATGCGGAAATATGTTTATTTTAGGTTAAAAGCTAGCTTGTTTGCACTAAGGCTAAGAGGTGAAATGGTTATCTGGGTGCATGCAAGTTTTTTAAAGCACTCATGTTAAGTTTCCCACAGTGATAGATTTCCAGGCTTGAAAAGCTATGTAGTGAATACATATGTATTTTTCTTTATTAATGCTAAGCTCTAAAACATTTAATTGGTTATAAAATTACTTTTTGTGAGTGCATTCTCTTTAAAATGACTTTTAAAAATGCTGATTGAATAATCACAAACAACTTCCAGGGAAATTCATTGGTAAAATGGCGTGGAAATCCTTGATGGGGGTTTAGAGACTAGACCTGTTCAGGCACAGTTGTAAATACTTTTTGGTGTGACGAATGTTCAAGGATCTGGTTATTCTGGTTTGTTGCATGTGTGACATTTTTCAGCTGCTTGATGAATGTCGCTACCTGTTCTGACATCAGCAAGGCCGTAAAACATCACGTGAGCACAGCTGGAAAGCTGGAAATATTTTCACCACTGTTTTCTCTCACTTTCTCACTGTCACTCACTACTTTTCTGTCTCCTCCTCTCACATACACACACAGTATAAATACACACCCTTCTTAATGATATAATTGTTTTACCAGATATCAGATCATTTTCATAGTAAAGTAGGTCATCTGAGATCTTTTATCTGCGGTGCTATGCAGTGACTGTGGTGAATTTAAGCCAAAAACCACATCAGAAACAGACACAAAAAGAACACGTGATCACGAGGCATGGGAGTATTTGTGTCTTTTTCGTATCATTCATTATTCATTTGAGGGATTCATTTATTTTTTTTGCATCTCTCAATGGTTGTTGTTTCTTTCAGATATATTTCTGCAGGCCTTCTGTAAAATGAGCAATAACAACTAACCCCACGACTCCTTATTAAAATGCAGTTCCTAATTAGTCGCCTGTGTATGTATGTGCATATTAGGGATGGGCATTTTAAAATAATTGTGTAGAATTCCAAAACATAAAAATGAGTAAAATAAGTATAGAATAATATATAAATTATAGATTCTTAAAAACTAAATATATGAAACATGTAAAATATTATATTACATAAAGTATATACTTATTCATAAATATAAAAATAAATAACTACATTATTTAATCAAATGAAAACATATGAGTAATTCTTGCTTTAAAGTGTTTTACTAATTGGAGATTTGTGAAGATGTTATTGTGTTTCCCAAGTTACATTAGGTTACTATTTTACAGAAGACCCATGTGATGTTGGGTAATAGGTTTTTAATTATAACAGTACGGTCACAGTTGACAACACTTTTTTGTTCCGACTGCAAGATCAATAAGGTCCGTGTTCGTTTTTGGTGACAGGTTTTAAGACAGATGCATCAATCATTTACAGAAATTCTGCTGTAGGGGTGTCTGTGTGTCTTTAGATTTTATTATAATGTGTGTGTTTTCAGTCACCATGGACTATTTAAATCAATGTACAAAGAGTTTATAGGTTTGAAATTGTTATAGTTGTCAAACACTAATATCACTGAAGCACGTGGCACTCCGGTATGGAGGAGTCGACAACATAATGGGCCATTTAAGTGTCACAATTATTGTAACAAGAGCTAAATGTTTCACCTTGATGACTATAGCCAGCGAGTGGTAAATGCTGTTTGCTATAGTTTCCTATTAGACAAGAGTTGTCTTCCACTTGGGGGTTCTTAAGTGACTTGTAAACCAGAATCTTTGAGCTGCATTCAAATTTGTCTGATATTTGTTTTTTGTCTTATTGGATATAATAAAATTACATTTGTATTTCTAGTGGCAATCTCTGGAGGGCTTAAAAACAAAAAAAGGTGAAGCTTGAAATGCGATGTTAATGGTTTCATATGAAAATTTGTCTTTTATTTAAGCTGCAAAGTTTTGTAAATCATCTTTTTAGGGTTGGGACTGCTGTTTTAGGTAGATAAACCGGTTTACTGGTTTAAAAAGTACAGTGTTTAACAATTTTGCATAACAGGAGTTGAAAAATTATATACAGTATGGCATTACACAGACAGGATTAATAAGCAATTGTATTATATTAGTCTCATTTTAATGCTAAAAGGTCAGTGTTATGGTCCAATATGTTAAATAGTATGTTAGTATTTTAAAGTACGTACATTTACACGTATGTACTTTGATGTTTATTCTGGCAGTGCTTTGTCCCACTTTGACTACAAGTATTACTGTAAACATAATTTTCTGTGGTAATCTGTGGTCACAGATGATGTTGTTTGGACTTAATTTGTATTTAACCCTGAACCCTGTTGTTACAGTTTTCAGAGCCGTTTCCATTCATTTAAATTCTATTAGGTTAAGATGCTTTGAGAACTTGCTGTTTTATGGGTAGTTTCTTCTTGTCTATACACTCCCACCAGGTGAATGAGCTCTTCATGGGTCTCGCTCTCATTTCTCACGTCATTAAACTACTACAATATCCTGGTTAGAAGTCAAGATCCTTATGAGTTTCCTCTGTAGAGAGAGCTTCTCAGTTATCACATTGAAGTGCAGTGTGGCCGCCCGGCCCTGATTCAGGTTTAATCAAACACATCACGCTTCAGCTGCTGCTGTGAGAGGGAAGGATCGGAGGTCTGGAGTAATCAATGGTGTTTTAGAGTACAAAGCTCTCTATAGGAATCATGTAAAAGGAGAGGCGTTTTCTCACAGACTAACACTAGGTGTTGTACAACCACTCTGGACTGCTGTCTTATTCAGTAGGAAATATATCTTTAGACAGAATTTCTTGCTAAAAGCTGTTAAACATTTCTAGCAGTCAGGCCATTATGGTCTTTTTGCCACTTTGATGGGTAAGGCATTCATGGGATCAGGAAATGATGCCCACATAAGCACTGTGGCTGTGCATGCATGTTAACATTGCTACAACTACATAGTGTTTATAAATTTATTAATTCATATTTGTATGTATGTGTGTGTTTAGAAATTGTGCATGACTTAATAATGCATGTCATTAACATTCCAGAATTTTTATGAATTTAAATTAAAGGTGCACTAAGCGATTTTTGCCAAACAATGTTGATATTTGAAAGCACCAAAACAAACATGCCCATACCCCAACAGGACCTCGCGCTTATTTTGAAATCTCCGCCCCACACGTATGTACACAACCCTGGCATAACGACGATCGCGGAAACAAGTGAAGATGACACACAAGCATATTTAAACAAAAGCCAACACAGATAAGCTGTGTGAAACGAAGCAAAATCAACGTTACTCCCCTATCAAGAAGAAACAACGCAACTTCGGCATCCGATTCCAGGCCTTCCCGCTCCTTGAGTTCTCTCCACCGCTGGAAAGCTGCGCCGATATTTACGCGGGTCCTACCTCTTGCCTGATCATAACCCTTCTTTTTAATGTTTTGTTTCTCTGATATTTTCCTCTTTTTTTTATCTGCCATCTCTCTCTATCTATAATTGATCTGCTAATATCCGTCCTGTGCAATCAAATTGAGCGCTCTCTTCTCTTTATCATTACAAGACATGCCCCCTTACTGCTGATTGGCTACACTTGTGTTTTGGGACTCGGTCCGACGCTGTGGTCAAAAGCGTTTTTCAAAAATCACTTAGTGCACCTTTAAGACAGCAAACAGGATGCAGAAATAATTCAAAATGTTCACCCAAAAATGAAAAGTCACCCTTATTCAATTTATTTACTCACCATCATGTCATTCCAAAACTGTATGACTTACTTTCTCTTCTGGGGCCGGTTGCATAAAAGGTTAAGACTAGCCTTAAAAGTTAGCCAGCTAATTTTTTTTCTTTAATACTGGTCATTTTTTATTTTTATTTAGTTACATAAAAATGTAGATTAGTCTGAGTTGAATCCAAAAATAAGACTGTTTACCCTTTGGCTAACTGCTAGTTGGTCAGACTAGTTCTTAAGTCACTGTCTTAACATAGAGGCTAAGTTTATGCAACTGGCCCCTGGAACTTAAAAGAAGATATTTTAAGAATATTTTTGTTTTGTTTTGTTTTTGTCTATACAGTGGAAGTCAATGGTCATTAAAACTGTTTAGTTACCAAAATTCTTCAAACTATCTTCTTTTGTGTTCTGCGAAAGAAACATAGTCATACAGGTTTGGATCAAAATTACATTGAATAAATTATGAAAATTTTATTTTAATTTAAATTTCCCTTAAAAGTGGTCGTCACCGATAGCCTCGTGGGCAGCGCGTCGACATGTAGCGCCATTGCACTTCGGGCACCCTGTGTTTGAGTCCCGGCTCATGGACCTTTCCCGATTCCATCCCCCCCTCTCTCTCCCACTTCGCTTCCTGTCTCACTACTATCCTATCAATAAAAGGCAAAAACGCAAAAAATAAATCTTAAAAAAAACTTTCTCTTAAAAGTGAGTCTAATTGTTTTTATTTTTTTTCCTCAACACTGGTGTTTAGATGTGATAACTTCAGACTTTAGGGCCTGTTTAAACGGGCTTTGAAAAGGTAATGACATTGTTTTACAGTAGTAATAAAAACACTTAAGAGATTTATGGCACATACCTATAGCCAGTTTCTCAATCTATATTTAACCTGTACAGGACACTGGGTCACATTTTATCTCACAGTATCAGATGTTCTTTTTGTTTTTGTCTTCTTGACATTTATGTACCAACATTATGACAGTATTCATGTCTGCAGTTATGTCTTTATTCTCTGAAGGCACCTACTGAGTGATTAATGACCTTTCACCTCACATGTTCTGACAGATCTCGTTTGTTTCCTCCATGCTGACCCTGTCTGAGCCTCTAAAACTAGAAAAGCTGAAGGAGGCATGCAGGAAAATCTAATTTCCTTCAAAGCGGTTAGAACACCTCATCTGACTGGGAAAGACTGTGGGCTAATGAATTCTTAGTCTGTATCTCTGCTTTCTGTTAACAGTGGTGTGAGGCATTCATTCTGTGGCCCTCATAGCATTAAAGGGATGGTGGTTCAACCAAAAATGGACAGAAAAATTCTGTCATTAATTACTCACCCTCATGTTGTTCCAAACCTGTAAGACCTTCGTTCATCTTCGGAACACAAATTAAGATATTTTTTATGCATTCCGAGAGCTCTCTGACCCTCCAATAGACAGCAAGGGTCTTTACACGATCAAGGTCCAGAAACGTAGCAAGGACATCGGTGACATCAGTGGTTCAACCGTAATTTTGCGAAGCTACGAGAATACTTTTTGTGCGCAAAGAAAACTAAAATAACGACTTTATTTAACAATTCGTCTCCTCCATGTCACCCTTCACCCAGAACAGCATACGTTGTTTACGTTCAGTGGATACTCTCCAAAATGGCGCCAGGGAGACGTGGAGGAGACAAATTTTTGAATAAAAGTTGTTATTTTTGTTTTTTAGTATCCATGTAAAGTAAGTAAAATAAAAAGTTAAATAAATGAGGGCTACCGTTGTCTGCTACTACTGTTAGTGGCCTTGGATTTTATTTGTTCAAAAGCCTCCTCAAGGTATTGATAATCTCAAGAGCAGATTCAGTTTCTTTTTCTCACAAATCACTTTCTTCTTGAAAAATTGTGGTCTTGTGGTTAAACGAACCAGTCAGTATGTGTTCCTGACATGTTGAGTCGTGGCGCTCATGTAGACTCATGTAGCCAAAAGTCACCAAGAGGAGACTCTTGTAATTTTGATAAAAGTGTCAGCTTAATAATACATTTCTTTTTTTATCTTTTTATAGGCAACTTAAGCATCCATGAAAAACTGGAGCAACTTGTGGCAGAGTTCTTGGGGGTGGAGTCTGCCATGGCGTTTGGAATGGGTTTCGCCACCAATTCCATGAACATTCCGGCACTAGTCGGAAAGGTGAGCATTTCAAATTTAATCATCAGCAGTGCCTCTTTATTTTAACGTCTGTCTTAAATCACTCAGTTTTATCTGTTGAAGTGAGCTCAGAAGTGTGGTATTAATCTATTATCTCTGGGCGCCTGCTATTAATTGCTACTATAAACAGTTTCTCACGCACCACAGAATAACCCAATGAACCAGCACACTAAACAAACCCTTGTTAAAAATAATGCTCAATCAGATAGGCAAACACAGTTAGAACTGACAGTACTTGTTTAGGGTGTCTCATTAGGGTTTGTTTATGCTGGGTCCAATGATGTCGTCGGTCATAATCAGCTCAGATTAGAAGACCTCAGGAACTGGTAGAGATCCAGAAGGCTAGAGGACTGTCTTGAGGTGCCAGAAAACTGCAACTGGTTGGATTGTGTTTAGGGGGGTGTTTTTCCTCAAGCAAAGTCTTAATGATGTCGCAGCCTCAAGAGAATTGGTTAAGCAGTGGGTCCAAACTCTGAAGGTGAAGAGGAGATGACAGCAACCATTGTTGAATCAGGCAGTGTTCTGCAGCTATTGAGACTGTATCTTCCAGTTCACATCAGAAGATACATTAAGAAGTCCAATTCTTTTTAACACAAAAAGCATGGTGACACCTAGTAACACCCAGTATGCGGGTTCTATTTCCAGGGAACACATTTAGTGATAAAATGCACTGTAAGATGCTTTGAGTAAAAGTGTCTTCCAAATGCATAAATGTAACTCAACTGATTAAAGTCATTACTCAGTAGTGTTCCCAGAAGTCTTTGTAAAGTATATGTCTTTTTTGTAGACTATATAAATATAAGGATGGACTTAATTCTCTTTTCTCCTTAAATGGTTTTTCTAGCTATTCTTTGTGTAAGTGGTCAAGGACCACCTCACTGGAGATCACTGTAAGAGGCAATGAAGTGGATCTGGGTTCCAGATAGATCACTTCCTATCTGGGACAGGATTGAACCTGGGGTTCAGATAATTAAACTAGAATTGGCAATTAAGATTTGATGACAGAAAATGAGGGAGAGAAGAAAAATAGATAAATGAACAAATAAACTAAGAAAACAAATTGAAAGTGATGTATGATATTAAGTGCAAACTAGAATAAGATGAAGAGAATGCTTTATAATTTGTAGTTTTATTTTATTATTTTATTTTTACTCTTTGTACTATAGTAGCACTTTTTTCAGTTTTTTTTTTTTTCTTTTTAAGGGGTGCTATATAAAAAACGCTTGATTGTTTGTGATTATTCATGATCTGGGACAGGATTGAACCTGGGGTTCAGATAATTAAACTAGAATTGGCAATTAAGATTTGATGACAGAAAATGAGGGAGAGAAGAAAAATAGATAAATGAACAAATAAACTAAGAAAACAAATTGAAAGTGATGTATGATATTAAGTGCAAACTAGAATAAGATTAAGAGAATGCTTTATAATTTGTAGTTTTATTTTATTCTTTTATTTTTACTCTTTGTACTATAGTAGCACTTTTTTCAGGTTTTTTTTTTTCTTTTTAAAAGGTGCTATATAAAAAACGCTTGATTGTTTGTGATTATTCATGATATTTCTGAATGGACCCTCACAACATTATTCCACACATTGTGTTATTGATGGAATCCTGCTTCATAATTTGTTCAGAGCCGTGCAGTAACAATGTCTGTTTCCAGGGCTGCCTGATTCTGAGCGACGAGCTAAATCACACGTCCCTCATTCTGGGAGCCAGGTTGTCTGGGGCAACCATTCGAGTCTTCAAGCACAACAGTGAGTACATATTCAAAATATTATGAAGTTTAAAGACATCAGGTCACGGTGTGTTCAGTTATCCACACAACTGCTCAAGGTTCAGCATTTGTAAATACTGAGGTCAATCGTCTTCAAATTTTGTGATGGTTAGCAAACTAAATTTAAGCATTAGACTGCAGTGAGGCATATTTGGGTTTTCTAAAAGCTGTGCTTTAGGGAATCCATAGTGGTTAATGGTATTCTTGTGTAGCTACTGGAAAACTAGTGTGCATCTTTCTCCAGAGGATGGATGAGAATACATGATGCATGAAAAACAAAAGCTTGAATGTACTCTGACAGCGCCGTGTAATAGTTGGTTGTGGATCCTTACATCAAACCCGAAAGCCTCCAAATGCCACTGTCTGACCTGAAAATAGACTTATAAAAAGTGACAGAGGAGTTTAGCAACCCTAGTCCATTGCGCTTGGCTGCGATTGTTCAAATAATAAAAAAAAATGTATTGATTAGCTGGTTCAAGTTTGTTTAATTATGGTGCAAACTAATGCCATGTTCAGCTTCCTCAGAAAATTAAAAAGAATTCTGTGTGAAGTTGGACTTTCAACTTGGGAACTCGTGCAGAGATCCCCACTTCTGATTTCGTAAAAATGCCGGTGCATGATGTAACGTTAGCGGATATGATGAGTTAATGATAACCATTTACTTTCAAGCAAATAAAATGCATCAATGAGTTAAAGTTCATAATTATATGATAAGCCAACCTGTTTAGCAAGCATTTGCAGAGACTGGTGGAAAATGCAGTAAATGTTCTTCTCTGTTGATACCTGCACACCTACAGAATAAATGGTAGCATTGCATAAAGTTTATCATCTGCATTTTGGTTGTTAGAACATGTTTGTTGACAAATACCTACCACGCTACGGGTGCATTGCCATTTTAATTCTTTATAGGTCTTCGGAGGATTGCGAATCCCACATTGAAAAAAAAGATATCCAAAAGCAGAAGAGGATCATTTATCTCTGATTTTCTGAATGATCGCTCATTCAAAATGTGCTTTTTGAATGAGCGATCATTCAGAAAATCAGAGATAAATTATCTCTGATAACTTATCACCTAGGCCTAAATATTCCTGATGTCAACAACACATTTAGGGCATTTGAACAAATGCCCTAAATGTGTTGTTGGCATCAGGAATATTTAGGCCTTTGATTTAGCTTTTTTAGTTTATCAGTTACGTAAGGACTTCTTGGAAGACTTGTTTTTTCTCAGGGAAAAGATTGCAGCTGTAAATATGGTACACCGAATAAAAGAATGGATTTTTGTAGTTTCATTTGCACATCATTGTTTTGAATAATGATCATTGCTGTTTTGTATATGTCAATGAGACATATTTTGAAGCGAGTGGGTGGATTTTCCCTGCAAACAGAGTATGTTTTTGTATTACAAACACAATTATTCTGGCTCAAAGTCACTATAACCAAGCTGCAAATACTGTCATTGTCATCTTGAATTAACTAGTGACAACATAACACACTTAAACATCAGCCAAACATAGTTTGGCATTTATGTCCACATACAGTCTACTTGTCATTCTTTATTGTATAGTTGTTCTTGGCCTGAAACCTTTGGCGGATCTGCTTAGGTGAGTGTAGTATTTCAGGACTGCATGGATAGGGAAAGGAGGGCGCGTCCACATTGGCCTTCACTGGCCTAAATACGTCCACCTGTTTGAAATGAGGCCACTTTAATGAGAGACTATATGGAACATTCTTTTCTTTGGGCTTTTTGTCACTTTTTATTCATAGAGACAGTAGAGAAGGCAGTAAGTTAATAGGGTAAAAGTGGAGGAATGGGATCAGATGCAACACAGGCCAGAATTAAACCTGTGTTGGCTTTCAAAATCTGTAATTTTGCAGTTAAACTCTGCCATCTGTTGGCCAGTTTGTAGTGTTGCCATGTCTGGTTGTTATAAGCGACTTCAGGTTATTTGCTTATAAATATTGGGGTCACGGGTGGGTTATTGGTTTGTGGGCTTATTTACAGAATACAGTCACACATTTGGACTTACACGATAAAATATGGCCTACCAATAATAGCATTGTTGAATATCCCAGTGTGCTGTTAGAGCTCAGTTTTACTTAGCATTACTATTAATATAATTTGTTTCCATTTTTTTTTTCAATGTTTCTGGCTTTTCCAGCCCTTCATCTAGGATACAATTAATGGAAATGCTTTTTTGCCGTAAGATGTAATTTAGCCTTGGTTACTGTTTGTTTTATGCTATAATAAATCAGATCACTGAATTCAAGCAGTTCTCCTTGATCCATAAAAATCCTCACCCTCCTAGAAGCACAAAAACTGTTAATGCTTATTTGGTGAGATACACTGTAGGTCACTTATTTTGGGTTTGTTTTACCAGACCATGTTCCTTCTTTTTCCTTCCTAGCAAGGTCTGGCAACACTGTCAGATTGTGTCTCAGCAATCTAAAACATTCAATTCAGGTCTTTCAATTCATGCAGCCTCTACTGAGCTAATGAGGTGTGTGCATTGCTGGGGCGTCTCTACAGAAGAAGGGTTGAGAAACACGGTTCTGTATATCCAAAAACTTGTTGGCCACATATAGAAGAAGCATCTAGAAACATGCTGGGTTGTTCATAATTTGTAAAGAAATTAGTGATGTAATATTACAGCCATATATATTCCTAAAAATGGAATTCAAATTCAAAAATTAATTCAATTTTCCACTTGCGCTCATAACTGGCACAAGAAAATGTCTGAGTTAAGGTAAAATACCAACTAACAATTTATATTTATTTTAATACCTGATTGTGTCATAATGTGCCTGTTTTGTGTTTGGTTACAGACATGCAGAGTCTAGAAAAAATGCTAAAGGAGGCGATTTGCTCAGGTCAACCTCGCACCCATCGCGCCTGGAAGAAGATCCTCATCATGGTGGAGGGCATTTACAGGTCAGTGTGTTTGTGAATATTTTGCAGTTCCATTCACTACAGCCTTAAGGTAAGAAGCTACATCAAATGAAAGAGGATCTAATTAAGCAAATTAATAAAAACATTTTTTATATTTATAGAGAGGTTTTCCTACAAAAGTATAGCTCAAGATGCTTTACAAAGCAGCAGAATGTTAATTAAACAATACAAAATACATTTATTATCATTGTTGGAGAACAGCTAAAGCAATTGGATTTAATAACTGGTGGCACAAACAAAAATATCTTTATTATCACAATTATCATTCTTGTTTGTTTGAGGTTTTCTGATGTGTGATGTCACCCATTTGAACACTGCCTGTCTGATTGTTAGTTTATTGATGCCAAAGTCTTCAGTCATGGCTGTGTGACCCTTTCCAGCCTCGTGAGCATCGATAACCCTTTTTCTGAGGTCATTTATTGCATAAATCTGTGCTCTGTGTGCTTTGAAGTGAACACTAAAGGTTCATGAACTTTATATGAAATTCATGCATGATTATAGAAGATTATGAATGATTCACTAACTTACAACCACTGTACCGGTAGCCACATAATACTATTTACAGTGCCTATTGCCGTCACTGAGATAGGTGATTTCTCAGGACACCTATTTCAGTGATATCTGCTAAGTAGTTGGAGACATTTTGTTTAACAAATCCCTTACAGCACCATTAATATTGAAAGATATGAAAAGTTGTTAAATTTAAAACATTTAAGTTTATGGGTTACAAAGGTTAAAAAATATATTTTTTTAAATTACATTAAGGTTAAAAATATATAGAATTTTTTTTAATGTATGTGTATGTCTGTCTGTCTGTACATTTTAATATATTCATATATATGTTATACATTTTTATATTTATACACACACATATATATATATATATATATATATAAATACAGTTTATTAAACTATTTCAATAATTTTTAATATTTATAGTCATATATATATATATGTCCATAATCTGATTTCTTACACCCTAACTGAAATGTCTTTGTCTATTTCTTTCAGTATGGAAGGCTCTCTAGTCCGGTTGCCGGAGATCTTAGCGCTAAAGAAGAAGTACAAGGCTTATCTGTACCTTGACGAGGCCCACAGCATCGGGGCCGTGGGGCCCACAGGTCGGGGGGTTACAGAACATTTTGGGGTGGACCCCAATGAAGTGGACGTTCTAATGGGCACCTTCACTAAGAGCTTCGGGGCTGCTGGCGGGTACATAGTTGGGAAAAAGGTAGGCATTATGTAATACCTTACTGTCAGGCTTTTAATAAGACATTTCCTGAGGCAGAAAGCACAAGGTTTTACAGAAATTCGGATCGTTGAGCTGCTGTTTGTCGTTTGGTGACGCTCGTGGTACAGAAATTACTTGCGTCACCTTTACTCAGCGTGCACACCATTCTCCCTTCCCTTCTCTTTCAAACTCGCACACATGGTCTTGTTTCATGATGTGAAACTACATATGTTCCCCAAATGTCACTCACGCTCCTGTCACACCGCCTCTCTCATCTAATTACTCCATTAAAAAAGACCACTTCACTTCATAACCACATCACGGACATGGCAGTTGATTATAAAAGACTGAAAATGAAAAAGACTGCAGCTTCTTTGAATTACACATTCTTTGGAGAACAGAGAGAGAGAACCCATACATGTGCTATGTAATATTGAGAATTTAATAAGGTGAGACTGTTGGCCGATTGCCAACTCTATTTTATGGGAATTAAATCAGAATTGCAGGTTTTCACAGGATGCTTCCAAACATGGTACTTGTCTGTAATGTATACTACCATTTTAAAAAATAAATAGATAATCATTACAATAATAAAAAAAAAAAAAAATAAAAAAAACTTTTTTAATACTATTTTTCTATCTGAAAAATGTAGTGAAATGAGTGGTGCTGCTAGTCAGCAGACCTTGCTAGTCATACTTGTCAGCTTGTCAAAGAAAACGTCTGTTCCTTTCCTGTAGGTTTACCATTTTTTATAAAGGTACTCAACAGCAGCAGAGTAAAACACATGCTCTCAGCAGCAATAAGGACACTGTACACAGGCGCAGTGGGAGGTTCGCAAAGAGAGCCGCCAAACTGCTCCAGCCAGTCCCTCGCTCCACAGATGTGGGTGGATTTTCGGACACGTTCTCTTAACTGACTTATCTTATGCTGTTTCCACAAAGCTCCCAGGACCTAAAGCACTTCAAATCTTGCACTCTAAGTGGAAGCAGATGTTTGCTTTGCAGATTTTTCCCCTAAAAACCCCTTCGCCCCCATCCTCAAAGTAGAGGACACATCTGGATGCAGAGGCCCGTGTGCACCGCGAGGTGCGTCCCCTCCCCTCGCCCCTCCACAGTGGATGCAGATGTCTGAGGACAGAGATTAACAGCTGAATATTGGCCCCGGCTTCTGCTCAGAAGCCTTTTAATGGATGCAGGACAGACACAATCTCCAAAACTGCTTGTTTGTAATACACAAAGTGTCACCTTATTGAATGACAGCTGTAATAGTTTGTACAGAAAAGCCTGTATTAGTGTCCATATGTGTTTGTTTGCCTCATTGTCAGATCTGCTGTAAGTATAACCAGTTCAGGGACTCCAATACAAGCAGTTTGAAAAAGTAACATCCTGTATTAGCCGTAGCAAACAAACAAACAAACAGATTTTACTACACAATGACTACAAATAGAGAAGCTGTCATTATCACTGGATGATCAGTGTCTCAGGTGTGCACTGTGTGGTTTCATCTCCCTCTAGTGGTGTAATTTGGACAGCACTGTGTTTAAGTTCAACTACTCTTGCAAATAGTTCCCTATCGATACTTCACTCGTACTGCGTCTGCTAAGACGCTTTGGGGAAAACTCCTTTTTTGTTTGCTTTGCAGATTTTTCCCCTAAAAACCCCTTCGCCCCCATCCTCAAAGTAGAGGACACATCTGGATGCAGAGGCCCGTGTGCACCGCGAGGTGCGTCCCCTCCCCTCGCCCCTCCACAGTGGATGCAGATGTCTGAGGACAGAGATTAACAGCTGAATATTGGCCCCGGCTTCTGCTCAGAAGCCTTTTAATGGATGCAGGACAGACACAATCTCCAAAACTGCTTGTTTGTAATACACAAAGTGTCACCTTATTGAATGACAGCTGTAATAGTTTGTACAGAAAAGCCTGTATTAGTGTCCATATGTGTTTGTTTGCCTCATTGTCAGATCTGCTGTAAGTATAACCAGTTCAGGGACTCCAATACAAGCAGTTTGAAAAAGTAACATCCTGTATTAGCCGTAGCAAACAAACAAACAAACAGATTTTACTACACAATGACTACAAATAGAGAAGCTGTCATTATCACTGGATGATCAGTGTCTCAGGTGTGCACTGTGTGGTTTCATCTCCCTCTAGTGGTGTAATTTGGACAGCACTGTGTTTAAGTTCAACTACTCTTGCAAATAGTTCCCTATCGATACTTCACTCGTACTGCGTCTGCTAAGACGCTTTGGGGAAAACTCCTTTTTCTCCGAATACTGAAGCCTTTTTCAGTCACGCAGTGTAACTGCACGACCATTGGTTCGTGCAGTGTATTATTAAAAACGAACCAATGGCTCGGCAGTGGAGCGGACACCAGCCAGAGCCCGCCAATTTGGGCGGGGCATCTGGCTATATAAGCGTGCACTTCGTCATAGGATCCTCAGATTTCTTCTCCTTCAGCGATGACTAAGTTCTTCGCTGATCTACGAGACTCGAAGCCTCTCGCCGTAGAATCGCCTTCAAGCTGAACCAGCGACCCTCTGCTCTGCCGATTCGCCGCTTCTCCGCCGCCTTCAGCGTCGCAGCAGCAGTGGCCCCAGCTGATCCCCTGCCGCCATCCGGCGAGCCTAAAAAAGCTTATTTCTAAGAGGTAAGTTCTAAAAAAGAGCAAAATTTCTAGCGACGTTGTTGCAAATGTCGTGCTGCGAGTGTGGCTCGTGCACAGAATCTTGCATGATGCAGAAGGGCAGTGAGTGCGTCGCCTGTCTGGGCAGCCCCCACGCAGAGACTGCACTTCACTGATCAACTCGCGGACCGCCTTCATTGAAGGCAGCCCCGCTCTCCCGTTTCTTCTCTCTCAGCGAGCCTCGGAGAAAGAAACAGCAGAGTCAGGGAGCTAAGCAACCGGGTCTGAGCGATCGCATGCCGGCACTGTACCCGCGTGCTCGCTCTCCCCGCTGCGCTTTGATCCGCCGCAGAAGGGCAGTGAGCTGCGCGCTCACTGAGACAGAATGCTCACTCAGAGCATGAGTCTCGCTCTTCTCCACTCGCGGATCACCTTCATTGAAGACAGCCCCACTCTTCCGTTTCTCCGCTCTCAGCGAGCCTCGGGGAGAGAAACAGGGAATTAAGCAACCGGTCTGAGCGATCGCATGCCGGCACTGTACCCGCGTGCTCGCTCTCCCCACTGCACTTTGATCCACCGCAGAAGGGCAGTGAGCTGCGCGCTCCCTGAGACGGAATGCTCACTCAGAGCATGAGTCTCGCTCTTCTCCCCTCGTGGACCGCCTCCAATGAGGCAGCCCCGCTCTCCCGTTTCTCCTCTCTCAGCGAGCCTCGGAGAGAGAAACAGCGAAATCTGAGAGTTAAGCAACTGGGTCTGAGCAATCTCACGGTCAGAGCCTGCGTGCTTGCTGTCCCCGCTGCGCGTCGTTCCGTGTCTTACACATGAAGATCAGCGCCCCTCGTTACATCGAGAGGCTCTATCTTCCTACGTTGATCAAAGCAGAACGCTGTCACTGACAGCTTCGAATTTGGGTGTGTGTCGCTATGGCTGCGCTCACAGAGACGGGCTGCTTTTACCACAAAAGCAGTCTGCCCCTGTTCGTTGGCGGAAGGCGGCCCCGCCTCCCCGCTCTCATGTTTCTCTCCTCACAGTTACCTCAGAGGAAGCTCGCAGGTTGAGCGATCAGGCTTGAGCAATTTCATGCTGGCACACGTCATGCGTGCTTGATCTGCCAGTGTGTGTTACATGTGAGGATCAGCGCCCCTCGTTACACAGAGCGGCTTAATCCTCCTAGACAGATCAAAGCAGAATGCTGGCAGCTTCGCATTTGTGTTTGCGTCGCTGAACCCCGCCTCCCCCGCTCTTGTGTTTCTCGCGGGGATGAGCGATCAGGCATGAGTGATTTAACGCCGGCAAAAGCCCCCGTGTGCATCACTCTCCACGCAGCTCTTTGATCCGCCAGTGTGTTCACACGTGAGGATCGGGCCTCCCGTTGTCGAGCAGCGCAATCCTTCTATGAGGATCGGAGCAGAACAACATAAAGATCATCAGTACTCCTCTTCTAATGAGTGGTTGGATCTTTTTAGGCGGATTAAAAGAGAATGCTGTCACTAATGATTATTATCACTGACAGCTTCAAATTGGACGCGTCTGGGCCACGCCCAAGCTGAGGCAGCGCGCATGGGGGCTGATGCCACGCCCACGCTGAGGCTGCGCTCGCTGAGACAGATCGCTCTCACTACGTGAGTTCATGTCTCGCTCTGCTTTGCTTGTAGCTCGTCTTCTTCAATGAAGGCGGCCCCGCCCCTCCCCTCGTCCGCCACGAGTGGATCTGAGAGAATGCGCGCAGCACTTTTGATCTGCCTGAGTGTTTACACATAAAGATCATCAGTACTCCTCTTCTAATGAGTGGTTTGATCTTTTTAGGCGGATTAAAAGAGAATGCTGTCACTAATGATTATTATCACTGACAGCTTCAAATTGGACGCGTCTGGGCCACGCCCAAGCTGAGGCAGCGCGCATGGGGGCTGATTGCTCTCGCTATGAGAGCATTAAGTCTAGCGAAGCATTTTTTGAAAGCATTTTCAAAAAGAGAGCAAAATTCTGAGTGTGGGGTCCCCGTACGGCGACCAGCCACTGGAACTAATCCAACCCCTTGTCACGCGGGCTGAGGCCTGGCAGGCCATCCCCGGAGTGCCAGACTGGGTTTTGGGGATAATAAAACGAGGTTATTCACTGCAATTCCTCAGTTTAGAGCAAAGACGCACACGTCCTGCGCTCCGAGGTGATGAATTTGCTGGGCGATAGGAGCCGTAGAAACGGTTCCCCCAGCTCAAAGCGGCTTCCACAGCCGCTATTTCCTCATCCCCAAAAAAGATGGCAAAAGGCCCATCCTCGATCTCAGGCACCTGAACCAAGCCCTCATGAAATGGCTGTTCAGGATGATTACATTGAAACAGATCCTCTCGCAAGTGTGCCCAGGGGACTGGTTCTTTTTGCTGGATCTGAAAGACGCCTGCTTACGGGGGCTGACTGCTCTCGCTATGAGAGCATTAAGTCTAGCGAAGCATTTTTTGAAAGCATTTTCAAAAAGAGAGCAAAATTCTGAGTGTGGGGTCCCCGTACGGCGACCAGCCACTGGAACTAATCCAACCCCTTGTCACGCGGGCTGAGGCCTGGCAGGCCATCCCCGGAGTGCCAGACTGGGTTTTGGGGATAATAAAACGAGGTTATTCACTGCAATTCCTCAGTTTAGAGCAAAGACGCCACCTCGGTTCAGAGAGAGGATGCACATGTCCTACGCGCCGAGGTGATGAATTTGCTGGCAAAAGGAGCCGTAGAAACGGTTCCCCCAGCTCAAAGCGGCTTCCACAGCCGCTATTTCCTCATCCCCAAAAAAGATGGCAAAAGGCCCATCCTCGATCTCAGGCACCTGAACCAAGCCCTCATGAAATGGCTGTTCAGGATGATTACATTGAAACAGATCCTCTCGCAAGTGTGCCCAGGGGACTGGTTCTTTTTGCTGGATCTGAAAGACGCCTGCTTTCACATCCAGATAGCCCCCACCACAGACGATTCTTGAGATTCGCCTTCGAGGGAATGGCAGATCAATACAAGGTCCTTGCCTTTGGACTGTCCCTAGCTCCTCGCACTTTTACACTTTTAGTGCAGGGAAGCGGCTCTTTCCTCGCTGAGACAGACGGGAATCTGCATTCTGAATTACCTCGACGACTGGCTCATTCTGGCACAGTCGGAGGACGAGCTACTATCTCACAGATCCCTCCTCCTCAGCCACGTAGAATGCCTGGGACTCAGGGTCAATTTTGCCAAGAGCGTGCTGTCCCCCAGCCAACGGATCTCGTTCCTGGGAACAGTTCTCGACTCAGCCCGATTGATGGCGGTAGTCGTGCCAGAACGTGCACTGGCTATTCAGCAGCTCGTGGCCTCATTCAAAGTTGGAGCCCCTTGCCCTCTAAAGGCGTTTCAAATGATGCTGGGCCTCATGGCCTCCGTGTCTCCGGTACTTCAGCTGGGCCTGCTTCGCATGCGGCTCCTTCAGTGCTGGCTGAAACCACGAGTTCCGTCCCACGCCTGGTGTCTCGGACACCTTCGTGTCAAGGTGGACCGGGCCTGCGTAGCAGCTCTGGCCCCTTGGAAAGACTCGGTGGATGGAACATGGCGTACTCCAGGGAATGTTCTGCAGAAGGAAGGTGGTCTCGACAGACGCTTCCAACACTGGTGTGCCGGGCAGGTTGAACCAAGGACCAGACATGCTATCTCGGAGCAACATCCCCTCAGAAGAGTGGATGCTCCACCCACATATGGTTCAAAGAATCTGGGAGATCTTCGGCAAGGCACAGGTCGACCTCTTCGCCTCAGAAGACAACTCTCACTGCCCAATTTACTTTTCGAAGGACACAGATGCATTGGCCCACGACTGGCCCAACCTCCTCCTTTACACTACAGTCCGTTGACCTTCATCCCCTGATGCTAAAAACCGCTCTGCTACTGGCATTAGCATCAGTAAAGCATATGGGAGATCTGCAGGCACTCTCGGTGAGCCCTACCTGCCTCAAATTCGGGCCCAACGACTCCAAGGTCATCCTGAAGCCGAGGCATGGGTATGTACCTAAAGTGCTCTCGACTCCATTCAGAGCACAGGTGATAGCTCTTTCGGCGCTTCCTCCTTCGGGGCAGGACCAAGAGCTAAATCTACTCTGCCCCGTCAGGGCATTTAGAATATACATTGAGCGTTCCGCCCCGTTCAGGCTGTCGGATCAGCTTTTTGTATGCTTCGGTGACCGCACCAGAGGGTCTCCGGTCACGAAGCAGAGACTTTCCAAATGGATAATTGACACTATCAAGCTAGCGTACTCTTCTTTGGGCCTTCAATGCCCCATGGGAGTAAGAGCTCACTCAACAAGAGACATTGCCTCTTCCTGGGCTTGGTCTAGCGGAGTTTCCATTGCAGAAATTTGTGCGGCGGCCGGCTGGTCCTCGCCGTCCACATTTACCAGGTTTTATAATCTGGATGCTTTCTGCTTAAATGGACTTACTCTGGCAAAACCAGTGCTAAATCAGGCGTTTGCCTTCTCTGTATGCTCTTGGCCCCCACTGGGTTCCAAGGCTGTGCGATTTTTCTTGGAACGCTTACTTAGCGCCGGGCCGACCTCTGATCGTTCCTTTAACATAGCACGGCGAGATTGTACTGGTTCCCCAAAGTGTCTTAGCAGACACAGTACGAGTGAAGTATCGGTAGGGAACGTACTCGGTTACTAATGTAACCTCGGTTCCCTGAGATACTGGAACGAGTACTGCATTGCTGGCCGTGCTATGTAGCTGCACGACTCAGTCGTCGCTTCAGTCGAAGTAACCTGAGGATCCTATGGCGAAGTGAACGGTTATATAGCCAGATGCCCCGCCCAAATTGGCGGGCTCTGGAGGGCTGTGTCGCCATAGGCTCGTGCAGCTCCGCTGCTGAGCCATTGGTTCGTTTTTAATAATGCACTGCAAGAACCAATGGCCGTGCAGTTACACTGCGTGATTGAAAAGGCTTCAGTATTCGGAGAAAAAGGAGTTTTCCCCAAAGCGTCTTAGCAGATGCAGTACTCGTTCCCGTATCTCAGTACGTTATTTTAAGTGACATTTTAAATCACTTATTACAGGTTTTCCTCCTCTGAACAAACCTGAGGTTAAATATCTTGCTCTAGGGTGCAATACACTTCTCATGGATCAACTGCTCAAAAGTTCAAACTTACAAACCATAACTTTAACCATAATACTACCACAGCTTGTGAAACATTGACACGTAGTGTTGACCAAAAAATAGTTAAAAGGAAAGCTCATTCTAACATTTTTGGCAGTAATTACTCACTGTTACAGCAGTATTAATTTCTTTTTTCAATTTGATGTAATTTATCTTTAATTAAATTAATTCAATTCAATTTAATTTTTTAATTGTAATTAATTTAATTAATATAAATAATTTCTTTATTTAATTTTTTTTAATCCATTATTTTTCTTCTTTCTTTGAAGCACGAAAGGAGATCTTAGGCAGAATGTCTGAACTTCAGTGACATAAATGTGAACAAATTATGAAAGTATTCCTTTAATGATGGACATGTTGTGTTTTTGTGCAGGAGTTGGTGGATTATTTGCGAAGTCACTCTCACAGTGCCGTGTACGCTACAGCCATGTCCCCACCTGTCGTGGAGCAGATCATCAGGGCAATTAAATGCATCATGGGTGTCGATGGAACAACAGAAGGTTGGTATAAAAAAGCAATGTATAGACATTGAAGCAATACTATGACATAAAATCATGAAAAAGGCTGTGAAGCTGTAAAACTTAAAAAGTCACATGACTGAAGTCAACAGATGCACTACTTTACACTTGATGTGTCAGAGGACGTTGAGACCCAGATTTCAAGCTAGTCAAGTCATTCTAATATCGGAAGACACTGAAATTCTCCACCCAACACTTCTCAGTCACATGGGGAATCACATGGATTTAATAACAATATAAATTTATTTTGCTACAGCGTATAACTCATGGAAAACAGATTTCAATAAAATACAGGACTGGCTTAAAGACCTTTAGTCAGGGAAAGGTCACATATTTCCAGGTATTAGGAGTCAGCAGAATGGCACCAGATGTTAAAAGGGTTTTCCCAAGCTCTCTTCTGTTTTTGATATGCATTAATCCATATATTTATGTTTTTAGAGAATACATCATGTTTCATTTTAATTTCACCGCAGTTCACACGATGATAGGAAGGGATTCAGACTGTATTGAGGGGCAGCCTTAAGTTCAGCACACTACTGTTAAAAAATTTGGGGTCGGTGAGATTTTTTTAATGTTCTTGAAAGCTTATGTGCAACAAAGCCAAATTTATTTGATCAAGAATGCAGAAAAAAACTGTAATAATGTGAAATATGATTATAATTTCAAATAACTTTTTTTATATATATATTTTAAAATTTTATTTATTCCTGTTATGCAAAGCTGACATTTCAGCAGCTATTACTCCAGTCTTCAGTGTCACATGATCCTTCAGAAAGCATTCTCATATGCTGATTTGCTGCTCAAGAAACATTTCTCATTATTATCAATATCGAAAAGTTGTACTGCTTAATAATTTTTGTGGAAACTTTGAAAAAAATGTTCAGGATGTTATGATAGAACAGCATTTATTTCAAATATAAATGTTTTGTAACGGTATAATATTCTTACCATCACTTAATGCAATGCATCTTTGTTGAATAAAAGTATTCATTTCTTTAAAAAAAAAAAAAAAAGAAGAATCTTACTGACCCCAAACTTTTAAACAGTAGTGTGAGCCAACAGAAGAGCAATTAAACTGGCCAATAAATAGTTTTATGCATTCAAAATTAAATAAGCATTAAAGTATATGCATAAAAATAACTGAATACAAAATAAAGAGTTTGTGGAAGATCAAAATCAGATGTGGAATCATCAAAATCAAACCTTTTAATACAAATTGAGACATGAATATAGTGCAGGGTTAATTAACTAGCTAAACTTCTCTGCTTCATTGGACAAGTGATTCTAGCCCAAACTTCCGAAGAGAATCTCTCTAGGCTGTTTTGAGTTGTTGAACACTATGATGTCTATATCAGACTTGGACAAGCCGCCAATGTGTGTCATTACTGGCATGATGTGCAGCTCTGTGGAGGGTGAGTCACACTGATCTGAGAGTTCGCTTTACAATGCTGGATCTCACTCTGAATACAACACAATAGGCTGCAGAAGACCTGCCATATCTAAACTTGTACCACGTCCATGACTAATTGTTTAGTCTGAGCTTAACCTGCTGTTTCTAGCATTTGCCAGTGTTCAGTGTTTCTGTTGAAGAGTTTCTAATGTCATGAAAGTTAACAGCGGTTGTATTCGTTCTGCTGACATAAGGTCTTCTGAGCTTAGCTTTACAGCCCACCTCCTTTTGAAATACCTGCCAATCGGTTCACAGGTAATTATATGCAAACATGCTGTTGTTTTCCAAAAACTCAGGCCATGGTGCCAAAGAGTGCTGGAGGCGGACCTGGCCAGCCCCCAGAACGGCATGATTCACCCAATTAAATATGGAGGAGGGAATGAGAGGTAGACATAAACTGAAAAAGACAGAGAGTGAAAGGTATTGATGTTCATTGAGCTACTGATTGTTTCCAATCACATTAAGTTTATAGAATTATCTCTTTGTGGTTCGAACTGCCAAAGGTCAGATTACAAGTCCAGAGCGGTAACCGCTAAGCTACCGCTAACCGCATTCCATGCTTCTCAGTTTACCCTAGTCTCCAATTGTGTGCCAAATCCATTGTATCCTATGTACAAGCCAAGAGTGTCTTGGCAAAGGATGAAATTTGTCTACCATTCAGCCTGACAAAACAAAACCAGCTGGTACTGTTCTTCACATTGACTGACTCCACACACACATTATGAGGCGTTTTGAAGAGAGTACAGAAATGAGCCTCAAAATGTAATGAAAACGTAGAACATCCGTAATACTTTATCGTTTTCTGTTTTCTTCCTGTTTTTGTTTGTTACTATGTTTTTGGATTATTTTATGAATGGGTCTGCTCTGTCTCACTTAACTACTTAATGGTCTTAATGAGGGGCTATTAAAAGACCGATCCTGGGATTTGAACGGCAGAGCAGATGATGTCATTTCCCGTCTCCTCTTTTGGGCCCCTTTCCTAGTCTTTCACATACAATCAGCCTATATCCTAAAGGGAAATAATAGTTGTTTATAAACTCTTCTTGATTATACCTACAGAATAAAAGGGTGAAATGTATACATTCTGGTTTGTCTAGGAAAAGGAAAGTTAAGGTATTGCTAAGACTGTTTTGTAAGAGCAATAACTGCTGGTGGTATGGCTGTATTCCACAACATTATGTTGCAATTCGTTGGCCATTTTCCCAGTGTTTTCAACTATATTTAAGTAAAACAACTATGAAACTCTCAGGCAAACAGTGTAGTCAAAAATTGCAAAGAAGTGGGCTAATCTCTGTGCCAGCTCTTTTTAGGACTAGTTTGTAGACGTATTTGTTCTATGGTTTGCCTGACATGGTCTGTTTGGCGTTCATGCTACCGCAGAGTGGGTGCAGACTCTCTGAGTGCTACAAATTACTGTAAAATTAACAGTGTATTTTCTAATTACCATCAGATTCAAACAGTTTAGTTTTATACAAAATGTCATAAATAAATGATCAAATCGTCACAGTCACAGCCTTCAGGTTGTGGGGACAATTGGGAGGCAGGTGCGCAGATGTGCTGCTTGTAGTCACAAAATGGTAAAGTTTATGAATATTAATTAGGTTATGCACAAATAAATTTGATGAATGATATGATTTGGTAAATGTTGTGCTACTGCTTAAACTAGTCTTACTTTAGTCATATAATTTTTTTGATTAGGACTGGTCATACATTTCAGTGACATAAAAAGGTAAATTGTTCTAATTTGAAGCAAGACTGATCATACCTTTGGTTAACTGCTAGTCAGACTAGTTCCTAAGAAACAAGTCTTAACATAGTGGTTATGCAATTGTCACTAGGTCTTTAGTGGAGATTTTGTCATTTCGAAGTCAAAACTGAAATGTTAACAATAACATTACAATTAGAAGTGACTAAAACTCACTCACTGTTGTACACTTCAGTTATTGACTATGGCAAGGGGTGCACATAATTTTTTCAGTCTGGTTCTCATGAGAGCACCTGGAGATTTGGTTTGGTTCCCACACTGCACATAGTGTGACCCATTAAATATAACTATAAAAAAGATAACAGTAATAATAGTATTATTGCACTTTATTTAGTTTTTAAATAAAATAATAAATAAGTTTGATAATACTATTATATTTTAAAATAAAAAATGAGTATTAAATAAAAATAAAGTTATTTTATAGTACACTTAAAAAATACAATGCTAATATTCACATTTTCTTCTTTTTTCTGAATTTTAACATTTTGACGTAAAATCAGCAAGCTTTTATGCGTTCAGTTCGAATTAAAATCTTATACAGTATTACAGTTAGTCGTTCTAAAATGGTGATTGTAAATTAATAGCTGTCAACCGTGTCGGTGTGCAAATGAACGGTCTGAAATTATTTACCCAGCACATTTTTTATTTTGGTCTTGCATGTGCACCTGCTCACCACTTAAGTGCACTCCTGGCAATGTTTTGTCATCCACTTGATTTTAGTTAAAATTTGTTTTACGGACTATTGTGGTCCTTTGTACTTCTTTTCTGACAACTGCAGTTTTTCCTATTTTCTTTTTTTACATTTTTTTTATGAGTGCAAAAATATGCCTATAAA